ATAGATACACAGAGACTCACACAGGTACATAGAGACCCATAGATACACAGAGACCCACAAAGATACATAGAGACCCATAGAGACACAGGGACTCACACAGATACATAGAGACCCATAGATATGCAGAGACTCACACAGATAGATAGAGAGCCATAGATACACAGAGACCCACACATATACATAGAGACCCATAGAGACACAAAGACTCACACAGATACATAGAGACCCATAGAGACACAGAGACTCACACAGATACATAGAGACCCATAGAGACACAGAGACCCACACAGATACATAGAGACCCATAGAGACACAGAGACTCACACAGATACATAGAGACCCATAGAGACACAGAGACCCACACAGATACATAGAGACCCATAGATACACAGAGACTCACACAGACACATAGAGACCCATAGATACACAGAGACCCACACAGATACATAGAGACCCATAGAGACACAGAGACCCACACAGATACATAGAGACCCATAGAAACACAGAGACTCACACAGATACATAGAGACCCATAGAGACACAGAGACTCACACAGATACATAGAGACCCATAGATACACAGAGACTCACACAGATACATAGAGACCCATAGATACACAGAGACTCACACAGATACAAAGAGACCCATAGAGACACAGAGACTCACACAGATACATAGAGACCCATAGAGACACAGAGACTCACACAGATACAAAGAGACCCATAGATACACAGAGACTCACACAGATACATAGAGACCCATAGATACACAGAGACTCACACAGATACATAGAGACCCATAGATACACAGAGACCCACACAGATACATAGAGACCCATAGATACACAGAGACACACACAGATACATAGAGACCCATAGATACACAGAGACTCACACTGATACATAGAGACCCATAGAGACACAGAGACTCACACAGATACATAGAGACCCATAGAGACACAGAGACTCACACAGATACATAGAGACCCATTGATACACAGAGACCCACACAGATACATAGAGACCCATAGAGACACAGAGACTCACACAGATACATAGAGACCCATAGAGACACAGAGACTCACACAGATACATAGAGACCCATAGAGACACAGAGACTCACACAGATACATAGAGACCCATAGAGACACAGAGACTCACACAGATACATAAAGACCCATAGACACACAGAGACTCACACAGATACATAGAGACCCTTAGAGACACAGAGTCTCACACAGATACATAGAGACCCATAGACACACAGAGACTCACACAGATACATAGAGACCCCCATAGATACACAGAGACTCACACAGGTACATAGAGACCCATAGATATACAGAGACCCACAAAGATACATAGAGACCCATAGAGACACAGGGACTCACACAGATACATAGAGACCCATAGATATGCAGAGACTCACACAGATAGATAGAGAGCCATAGATACACAGAGACCCACACAGATACATAGAGACCCATAGAGACACAGAGACTCACACAGATACATAGAGACCCATAGAGACACAGAGACTCACACAGATACATAGAGACCCATAGAGACACAGAGACCCACACAGATACATAGAGACCCATAGAGACACAGAGACCCACACAGATACATAGAGACCCATAGATACTCAGAGACTCACACAGATACATAGAGACCCATAGATACACAGAGACTCACACAGACACATAGAGACCCATAGATACACAGAGACCCACACAGATACATAGAGACCCATAGAGACACAGAGACCCACACAGATACATAGAGACCCATAGAAACACAGAGACTCACACAGATCCATAGAGACCCATAGATACACAGAGACTCACACAGATACATAGAGACCCTTAGAGACAGAGACTCACACAGATACATAGAGACCCATAGAGACACAGAGACCCACAGAAATACATAGAGACCCCCATAGATACACAGAGACTCACACAGATACATAGAGACCCATAGAGACACAGAGACCCACACAGATATAGAGAGACCCATAGAGACACAGAGACTCACACAGATATATAGAGACCCATAGAGACACAGAGACTCATAGAGATACATAGAGACCCCATTAGATACACAGAGACACACACAGATACATAGAGACCCATAGATACACAGAGACCCACATAGATACATAGAGACCCATAGATACACAGAGACCCACACAGATACATAGAGACCCATAGATACACAGAGACACACACAGATACATAGAGACCCATAGATACACAGAGACTCACACTGATACATAGAGACCCATAGAGACACAGAGACTCACACAGATACATAGAGACCCATAGAGACACAGAGACTCACACAGATACATAGAGACCCATTGATACACAGAGACCCACACAGATACATAGAGACCCATAGAGACACAGAGACTCACACAGATACATAGAGACCCATAGAGACACAGAGACTCACACAGATACATAGAGACCCATAGAGACACAGAGACTCACACAGATACATAGAGACCCATAGAGACACAGAGACTCACACAGATACATAAAGACCCATAGACACACAGAGACTCACACAGATACATAGAGACCCTTAGAGACACAGAGTCTCACACAGATACATAGAGACCCATAGACACACAGAGACTCACACAGATACATAGAGACCCCCATAGATACACAGAGACTCACACAGGTACATAGAGACCCATAGATATACAGAGACCCACAAAGATACATAGAGACCCATAGAGACACAGGGACTCACACAGATACATAGAGACCCATAGATATGCAGAGACTCACACAGATAGATAGAGAGCCATAGATACACAGAGACCCACACAGATACATAGAGACCCATAGAGACACAAAGACTCACACAGATACATAGAGACCCATAGAGACACAGAGACTCACACAGATACATAGAGACCCATAGAGACACAGAGACCCACACAGATACATAGAGACCCATAGAGACACAGAGACCCACACAGATACATAGAGACCCATAGATACTCAGAGACTCACACAGATACATAGAGACCCATAGATACACAGAGACTCACACAGACACATAGAGACCCATAGATACACAGAGACCCACACAGATACATAGAGACCCATAGAGACACAGAGACCCACACAGATACATAGAGACCCATAGAAACACAGAGACTCACACAGATCCATAGAGACCCATAGATACACAGAGACTCACACAGATACATAGAGACCCTTAGAGACAGAGACTCACACAGATACATAGAGACCCATAGAGACACAGAGACCCACAGAAATACATAGAGACCCCCATAGATACACAGAGACTCACACAGATACATAGAGACCCATAGAGACACAGAGACCCACACAGATATAGAGAGACCCATAGAGACACAGAGACTCACACAGATATATAGAGACCCATAGAGACACAGAGACTCATAGAGATACATAGAGACCCCATTAGATACACAGAGACACACACAGATACATAGAGACACAGAGACTCACAAAGATACATAGAGACCCCCATAGATACACAGAGACTCACAAAGATACATAGAGACCCATAGATACACAGAGACTAACACAGATACATAGAGACCCATAGATACACAGAGACTCACACAGATACATAGAGACCCATAGATACACAGAGACCCACAGAGATACATAGAGACCCATAGAGACACAGAGACTCACACAGATACATAGAGACCCATAGAGACACAGAAACTCACACAGATACATAGAGACCCAAAGAGACACAGAGACTCACACAGATACATAGAGACCCATAGATACACAGAGACCCACACAGATACATAGAGACCCATAGATACACAGAGATTCACACAGATACATAGAGACCCATAGATACACAGAGACTCACACAGATACATAGAGACCCATAGATACACAGAGACCCACATAGATACATAGAGACCCATAGAGACACAGAGACTCACACAGATACATAGAGACCCATAGATACACAGAGACCCACATAGATACATAGAGACCCATAGAGACACAGAGACTCACACAGATACATAGAGACCCATAGATACACAGAGACCCACATCGATACATAGAGACCCATAGAGACACAGAGACTCACACAGATATACAGAGACCCATATAAATAGAGGCACATTACCCATATAGATACATCGAGACCCATAGATACACAGAGACCCATAGATACACAGAGACCCATATATATACACAGAGACCCAAAGAGACCCACACTAAAACTGAACTATGTTTATTTTAGCGGCTGTAAGACTCCACTTAGCTACTGTGTAACTCTTTTTCAGAATCTGCTCCCGGCATTCACAAACGATATCTCAAACCAAGCGGCTGATTTCATTGTCGCTTGGATATTCAGAGCAGCAACAGCAGCAGCAGGCATTGTCAGGGTCCGGGATCGATCCCCACGACCTCCTGCATACCCGGCGAGGTAGTTAACATTTCGCCATTGGCTGGCTGGCTGTGTGGGTGGTGGTGGTGGTGGTCGTTGATGTATCTCACCAGGACTTTGCCCGAGGGAGATTCTTCCTTGGCGAGAGTGAGACCCAATGTCCCATTCGGGCTCACATCGTCATCTTTACACAAAAACAAACAGACACACAAACACACATAGACACATACACATAGACACACACATACATAGACAGACATATACACAGACACACACCCACATATATAGACACACACACAAAGACACACATACCTAGACACACACAGACACACACACAGACACACACATACACACACACGCACATACATAGACACACAACAACAACAACCGCCATTCGCCACTAAGTGGCGGTGACGTCACCACGACGCTTGTGCCAGGCTATGTGCACCCTGAGGCCACGTGAAGTGTCGAACGCCCGCTGGCAGGAGGTCACGGGGCAGACCCAGCAGGTGCCACGGGTCGACTGATGACTGGCTGATGCACCACCTGTGCCCCCTACTGTGCCAACCTGCTGTGCTTTAGCCACCCGGCGCTCCGCTCGTTGTTCTGAGCGTCGCTCCTCCGCCCTCCGTTGTTGTTGGAGGGCGACTGCCTCCAACTGCCCAGTAGCATCCTTCACGAGCCTCCTCCACAGAGGCCGATCTTGACACCGCTGGTACCAGTCATCGGCAAGTCCACTCAGCTCCACGTCCTCCTGTACCACATCACTCCATCTCTTCTCTAGCCCGTGCCGCGCCCGCTTAGCCCCCTCAATCCGGCCAAACAAAAGCTGTTTCAGCATGCGGTGGCTGGGCATGCGGGCTACATGACCCAGCCATCGCAGCCTTGCCTGCCGGAGGAGCTCACCGATGGGACCCTGCCCAGATCTTTCAAGGATTTGTGAGCTTCTCACACAATCCAGTCTGGTTAAACCCAGGATGGATCGTAGGCAGGCCAGCCTAAATGTTTCTAACCGGTGAAGATGTTCCATTAAGGGGGTCCACGTTTCGCAAGCGTAGAGAAAGGAGGGAATGACCGTGGCCGAGAAGACCTGAAGCTTAGTGCGGAGCGACAGACCAGGTAGCTTCCACACAGCGTTACGCAACCGATGAAAAGATATTGCCGCTCGACTGATTCGGAGTGAGACCTCTGCTGTTAAACTGGAGCCAGTCATAAGCACACTGCCCAGGTATGGGAAACTCTCTCCACTCTCTCCACAACTGCCCCATCACCGTTGGGAGTTGTGGGGGTGGAGTGTCCGATGGTACAAAATACCCAGGCAGGTGCTTAGTTTTGGTGGGGCTGATGGTAAGGCCCCACCTCTTTGTGGCACGCTCCAGTCTCAGCAGCAGCGTCTCCAACTCCTCCTCTGAATGATCAGCTATTACCAAATCATCGGCATACATAACATGGTTGAGCAATAGGGAGCCATCCCTTGACCGCACCCGGGCATCGATCAGCCTCCCATTATATCTGTACCATATGTAGATTCCCCTGGTACAGCTATTGAAGGCTTCACGAACTACGTGGTCAAAATAGATGTTAAATATTGTGGGAGCCAGAGGACATCCCTGTCGCACCCCAAGGTGTACAGGGAATGGCTCTGACTCCCGGCCACGTAGTTTTACCCGGGCCCGCTCGCCATCATGAAGGTCCTTAATGATCATGAGCAGGGGGTCAGGGACTCCAAAAGCACGAAGAACAACCCAGAGCCCAGGCCTACTGATGGTATCATAGGCCTTGACCAGGTCAATAAAGCAGAGATGTAGGTCTTGCTGGCATTCCCTACACCTCTGATGTAGCAGACGGACATAAAAAATGGCATCTGTGCAGGACCGCCCTTTCCTGAAACCGCATTGGGGCTCCGCAGCTTTTGTTTGGCCGGATCGAGGGGGCTAAGCGGGCGCGGCACGGGCTAGAGAAGAGATGGAGTGATGTGGTACAGGAGGACGTGGAGCTGAGTGACTTGCCGATGACTGGTACCAGCGTTGTCAAGATCGGCCTCTGTGGAGGAGGCTCGTGAAGGACGCTACTGGGCAGTTGGAGGCAGTCGCCCTCCAACAACAACGGAGGGCGGAGGAGCGGCGCTCACAACAACGAGCGGAGCGCCGGGTGGCTAAAGCACAGCAGGTTGGCACAGTAGGGGGCACAGGTGGTGCATCAGCCAGTCATCTCAGTCAGTCGACCCGTGGCACCTGGGTCTGCCCCGTGACCTCCTGCCAGCGGGCGTTCGACACTTCACGTGGCCTCAGGGTGCACATAGCCTGGCACAAGCGTCGTGGTGACGTCACCACCACTTAGTGGCGAATGGTGGTTGTTGTTGTGTATCTGAGTGTCTATGTATGTATATGTGTATATGTGTATGTATGTATCTGTGTGTATGTATGTATCTGTATGTATCTGTATGTATATGTGTGTATGTATCTGCATGTATGTATCTGTATGTATCTGTGTGTATGTATCTGCATGTGTGTGTGTATGTAGCTGTATGTATGTATCTGTGTGTATGTGTATCAGTATGTATCTGTATGTATCTGTGTGTGTGTATCTGTGTGTGTATGTATGTATCTGTGTGTCTGTGTGTGTATGTGTGTATGTATGTGTATGTATGTATCTGTGTGTGTGTATCTGAGTGTCTATGTATGTATATGTGTATGTGTGTATGTATGTATCTGTGTGTATGTATGTATCTGTATGTATCTGTATGTATGTGTGTGTATGTATCTGTATGTATGTATCTGTATGCATCTGTGTGTATGTATCTGCATGTGTGTGTGTATGTAGCTGTATGTATGTATCTGTGTGTATGTGTATCGGTATGTATCTGTATGTATCTGTGTATAGTGTAGCGGTTAGCGCGCTGCGCTATGAACCTGGCGACCCGGGTTCGATTCCCGCTCACGGCCAACACCAGTGACGATTATCTGAACCGGTCCCGGGCCTCCCCTAGGTCGACTCAGCCTCAAATGAGTACCTGGTGTAGCGGTGTGTAGTAAACATCGCCACTAGGGAGACAAAGGCGGTCGGGCGTGGTGCTGGCCACCCACCCCCTCGTGTACCGTTCCGGCCTTCATAGGTGCTCGCTAACAGCACTTGCCCCTACAGTCTGTTACAGGCTATATGGGGGATCTTTGTCTGTGTGTGCTGGACGTACTCTGGACGTCCATGTTAGTGCAGCCGTGTCTGCTGCTGCTGATGGCCGGGTGAAGTCGGCACTTGTGGACCAGACCGCTTCGACCACGTGCCAGTGGAGAGCTCACCACGAGCCTGGGAACAGAGACATCAAGGGTGGTGAGACTGTGTGTGGTGGGTGTGTGTCTGTGTGTGTGTTGTGTGTGTGTGGTGGGTGTGTGTTGTGTGTGTGTGGTGGGTGTGTGTGGTGGGTGTGTGGTGTGTGTGTGTGTTGTGTGTGTGTGGTGTGTGTCTGTGTGTGTGTGGTGAGACTGTGTGTCTGTGGGTGTGTGTCTGTGTGTGTGTGTGTTGTGTGTGTGGTGGGTGTGTGTCTGTGTCTGTGTGTCTGTGTCTGTGTGTGTGTGGTGGGTGTGTCTGTGTGTGTGTGTGGTGGGTGTGTGTGGTGGGTGTGTGTGTGGTGGGTGTGTGTGGTGGGTGTGTGTGGTGGGTGTGTGTGGTGGGTGTGTGTGTCTGTGTGTGTGTCTGTGTGTGTGTGTCTGTGTGTCTGTGTGTCTGTGTGTGTGTCTGTGGGTGTGTGTCTGTGTGTCTGTCTGTGTGTGTGTCTGTGTGTGTGTGTGGTGAGTGTGTGTGATGGGTGTGTGTGTGTGGTGGGTGTGTATGTGTGTGTGTGTCTGTGTGTGTCTGTGTGATGGGTGTGTGTGTGTGGTGGGGTGTGTGTGTGTGGGTGTGTGATGGGTGTGTGTGTGTGGTGGGTGTGTGTATGTGTGGGTGTGGTGAGTGTGTGTCTGTGTGTGTGGTGAGTCTGTGTGTCTGTGTGTGTGTGGTGGGTGTGTGTATGTAGTGAGTGTGTGTGGTGAGTGTGTGTCTGTGTGTGTGGTGAGTCTGTGTGTCTGTGTGTGTGTGGTGGGTGTGTGTATGTAGTGAGTGTGTGTGGTGAGTGTGTGTCTGTGTGTGTGTGTGGTGAGTCTGTGTGTGTGTGGTGGGTGTGTGTATGTAGTGAGTGTGTGTGGTGAGTGTGTGTCTGTGTGTGTGTGGTGAGTCTGTGTGTGTGTGTGTGGTGTGTGTGTGTATGTAGTGTGTCTGTGTGTCTGTGTGTGGTGTGTGTGTGTCTGTGTGTGTGTGGTGAGTGTGTGTGTGTGGGTGAGTCTGTGTGTGTGTGGTGAGTCTGGGTGTGTGTGTGGTGAGTCTGTGTGTCTGTGTGTGTGTGGTGGGTGTGTGTATGTAGTGTGTCTGTGTGTGTGTCTGTGTGTGTGTGTGGTGAGTCTGTGTGTGGTGGGTGTGTGTGTCTGTGTGTGTGTGGTGAGTCTGTGTGTGTGTGTGTGGTGGGTGTGTGTATGTAGTGAGTGTGTGTTGTGGGTGTGTGTGTGTCTGTGTGTGTGGTGAGTGTGTGTGTGTGTGGTGAGTCTGTGTGTGTGTGGTGAGTCTGTGTGTGGGTGTGTGTGTCTGTGTGTGTATGATGAGTCTGTGTGTGTATCTGTGTGCGTGGTGAGTGTGTGTGTGTGGTGAGTCTGTGTGTGTGTGTGTGGTGTGTGTCTATGTGTGTGTGTGTGTCTGTGTCTGTGTGTGGTGGGTGTGTGTGTATGATGAGTCTGTGTGTGTATCTGTGTGCGTGGTGAGTGTGTGTGTGTGGTGAGTCTGTGTGTGTGTGTGGTGTGTGTCTATGTGTGTGTGTGTCTGTTTGTGTGTGTGGTGGGTATGTGCGTCTGTGTGTGTCTGTGTGTGTGTGTCTGTGTGTGTGTGGTTGGTGTGTGTGTGTGTGTGGTGAGTCTGTGTGTGTGTCTGTGTGTGGTGAGTCTGTGTGTGTGTGTCTGTGTGTGGGTCTGTGTGTGTGGTGGGTGTGTGTGTCTGTGTGTGTGGTGAGTGTGTGTGTGTGTCTGTGTGTGTGTGTGGTGTGTGTCTGTGTGTGTGTGTGGTGGGTGTGTGTGTCTGTGTGTGTGTGTGGTGAGTGTGTGTGTGTCTGTGTGTGTGGTAGGTGTGTGTGTCTGTGTGTGTGTCTGTGTGTGTGTGTCTGTGTCTGTGTGTGTGGTGAGTGTGTGTGTCTGTGTGTGTGGTGAGTGTGTGTGTGTCTGTGTGTGGTGGGTGTGTGTGTCTGTGTGTGTGGTGAGTGTGTGTGTCTGTGTGTGTGTGTGATGGGTATGTGTGTCTGTGTGTGTGGTGAGTGTGTGTGTGTGTTGAGTCTGTGTGTGTGTGTGGTGAGTGTGTGTGGCTGTGTGTGGTGGGTGTGTGTGTGGTGAGTCTGTGTGTGGTGAGTCTGTGTGTGTGGTGAGTCTGTGTGTGTGTGGTGAGTCTGTGTGTGTGTGTGGTGAGTCTGTGTGTGTGTGTGTCTGTGTGTGTGTGATGGGTATGTGTGTCTGTGTGTGTGGTGTGTGTGTGTGGTGAGTGTGTGTGTGTGTGGTGAGTCTGTGTGTGTGTGGTGAGTGTGTGTGTGTGTGGTGAGTGTGTGTGTGTGGTGAGTGTGTGTGTGTGGTGAGTGTGTGTGTGTGGTGAGTGTGTGTGTCTGTGTGTGTGTGTGTCTGTGTGGTGAGTGTGTGTGTGTGTGGTGAGTCTGTGTGTGTGTGTGGTGAGTCTGTGTGTGTGGTGAGTCTGTGTGTGTGTGTGGTGAGTCTGTGTGTGAGTGTGATGAGTGTGTGTGTGGTGAGCATGTGTGTGTGTGTGTGGTGAGTCTGTGTGTGTGTCTGTGTGTGTGTGTGATGAGTCTGTGTGTGTGTGTGGTGAGTGTCTGTGTGTGTGTCTGTGTGTGTGTGGTGAGTGTGTGTGTCTGTGTGTGTGTGTGATGAGTCTGTGTGTGTGTGTGGTGAGTCTGTGTGTGTCTGTGTGTGTGTGGTGAGTGTCTGTGTATGTGTGTCTGTGTGTGTGGTGAGTTTGTGTGTCTGTGTGTGTGTGTGATGAGTCTGTGTGTGTGTGGTGAGTCTGTGTGTGTGTCTGTGTGTGTCTGTGTGTGTGTGGTGAGTGTCTGTGTGTGTGTGTCTGTGTGTGTGGTGAGTGTGTGTGTCTGTGTGTGTGTGGTGTGTATGTGTGTGTGTGTGAGTGGTGAGTGAGTGGTGAGTGTGAGTGAGTGGTTGAGTGAGTGAGTGGTGAGTGTGAGTGGTGAGTGTAAGTGGTGAGTGGAAAGTGGTGAGTGTGTATACACACCACGTGGTGTAGGCACTGTCTCTGTGTGGTGAGTGAGTGGGTGGGTGAGTGAGTGAGTGGGTGGTGAGTGAGTGGTGAGTGTGAGTGGTGAGTGAGTGGTGAGTGTGAGTGGTGAGTGAGTGAGTGGTGAGTGAGTGGTGAGTGAGTGGTGAGTGAGTGAGTGTGACTGGTGAGTGAGTGGTGAGTGAGTGGTGAGTGTGAGTGGTGAGTATACACACCACGTGGTGTAGGCACTGTCTCTGTGTGGTGAGTGGTGAGTGTGAGTGGTGAGTGAGTGGTGAGTGAGTGAGTGGGTGAGTGGTGAGTGGTGAGAAAAGTGGTGAGTGGTGAGTATACACACCACGTGGTGTAGGCACTGTCTCTGTGTGGGGAGTGAGTGGTGAGTGAGTGAGTGGTGAGTGAGTGAGTGGTGAGTGAGTGAGTGGTGAGTGAGTGAGTGAGTGGTGAGTGAGTGAGTGAGTGGTGAGTGTAAGTGGTGAGTGGTGAGTGAGTGGTGAGTGAGTGAGTGGTGAGTGAGTGAGTGGTGAGTGTGAGTGGTGAGTGTGTGGTGAGTGAGTGAGTGGTGAGTGAGTGGTGAGTGAATGGTGAGTGAGTGGTGAGTGGTGAGTGAGTGGTGAGTGGTGAGTGTAAGTGGTGAGTGAGTATACACACCACGTGGTGTAGGCACTGTCTCTGTGTGGTGAGTGGTGAGTGTGAGTGGTGAGTGAGTGGTGAGTGAGTGAGTGGGAGAGTGGTGAGTGGTGAGTGAGTGGTGAGTGAGTGAGTGAGTGGTGAGTGTAAGTGGTGAGTGGTGAGTGAGTGGTGAGTGAGTGAGTGGTGAGTGAGTGAGTGGTGAGTGTGAGTGGTGAGTGTGTGGTGAGTGAGTGAGTGGTGAGTGAGTGGTGAGTGAGTGGTGAGTGAGTGGTGAGTGGTGAGTGAGTGGTGAGTGGTGAGTGTAAGTGGTGAGTGAGTATACACACCACGTGGTGTAGGCACTGTCTCTGTGTGGTGAGTGGTGAGTGTGAGTGGTGAGTGAGTGGTGAGTGAGTGAGTGGGAGAGTGGTGAGTGGTGAGTGAGTGGTGAGTAAGTGGTGAGTGGTGAGTGAGTGGTGAGTGGTGAGTGTGAGTGGTGAGTGAGTGGTGAGTGAGTGGTGAGTGTACACACCACGTGGTGTAGGCACTGTCTCTGTGTGGTGAGTGGTGAGTGAGTGGTGAGTGAGTGAGTGGGTGAGTGGGTGGGTGAGTGAGTGAGTGGTGAGTGAGTGGTGAGTGTAAGTGGTGAGTGTGAGTGGTGAGTGTACACACCACGTGGTGTAGGCACTGTCTCTGTGTGGTGAGTGTGAGTGAGTGGTGAGTGTGAGTGGTGAGTGAGTGAGTGAGTGGTGAGTGAGTGGTGAGTGAGTGGTGAGTGAGTGGTGAGTGTGAGTGGTGAGTGTGAGTGGTGAGTGAGTGGTGAGTGTAAGTGGTGAGTGAGTGAGTGGGTGAGTGGGTGAGTGGTGAGTGAGTGGTGAGTGTGAGTGGTGAGTGTGAGTGGTGAGTGTGAGTGGTGAGTGAGTGTACACACCACGTGGTGTAGGCACTGTCTCTGTGTGGTGAGTGAGTGGTGAGTGTAAGTGGTGAGTGAGTGGTGAGTGAGTGGTGAGTGAGTGGTGAGTGAGTGGTGAGTGTGTGGTGAGTGTAAGTGGTGAGTGGTGAGTGTACACACCACGTGGTGTAGGCACTGTCTCTGTGTGGTGAGTGAGTGGTGAGTAAGTGGTGAGTGGTGAGTGGTGAGTGAGTGGTAAGTGGTGA